AGGGACTGCGGCCCAGGGACTTCCCGCGGCCCCCCCAGCGGGCGGCGGCCAGGCTGGCGAGGAGCGCCCAGGCGCCCAGGGCCCTGGCCCTCCACATGGCACGAAGCGGTGGCGGCTCTTTCCTCCGCTCAGGGGAGAGGACGTGGAGAGAGCTCCTCGCCAGGATGCGCCACCCGCCCCGAGATCTTTGTCAGGTACCGGATGCCGGGGGCTGGAGCCTCCCTCCCCCAGCAGCTGGGGGATGTCTGAGGTGCCCTGGGCCTGCCTCCTTGCCCCAGCCATGATGCTCACGGAAAAGCAGGGGAGGACAGCTGGGCCTCAGGCAGCAGGTCCCCCAGCAGCTGTGGACCCCCAGCCGCCCAGTGTCCCAGCAGCCCCGTGTCCCCCCGCAGCCATGGAACCCCCCCAGCAGCCGGGGAGCCCCCCAGCAGCCCCGTGTCCCCCCGCAGCCATGGAACCCCCCCAGCAGCCGGGGAGCCCCCCAGCAGCCCCGTGTCCCCCCGCAGCCATGGAACCCCCCCAGCAGCCGGGGAGCCCCCCAGCAGCCCCGTGTCCCCCCGCAGCCATGGAACCCCCCCAGCAGCCGGGGAGCCCCCCAGCAGCCCCGTGTCCCCCCGCAGCCATGGAACCCCCCCAGCAGCCGGGGAGCCCCCCAGCAGCCCCGTGTCCCCCCGCAGCCATGGAACCCCCCCAGCAGCCGGGGAGCCCCCCAGCAGCCCCGTGTCCCCCCGCAGCCATGGAACCCCCCCAGCAGCCGGGGAGCCCCCCAGCAGCCCCGTGTCCCCCCGCAGCCATGGAACCCCCCCAGCAGCCGGGGAGCCCCCCAGCAGCCCCGTGTCCCCCCGCAGCCATGGAACCCCCCCAGCAGCCGGGGAGCCCCCCAGCAGCCCCGTGTCCCCCCGCAGCCATGGAACCCCCCCAGCAGCCGGGGAGCCCCCCAGCAGCCCCGTGTCCCCCCGCAGCCATGGAACCCCCCCAGCAGCCGGGGAGCCCCCCAGCAGCCCCGTGTCCCCCCGCAGCCATGGAACCCCCCCAGCAGCCGGGGAGCCCCCCAGCAGCCCCGTGTCCCCCCGCAGCCATGGAACCCCCCCAGCAGCCGGGGAGCCCCCCAGCAGCCCCGTGTCCCCCCGCAGCCATGGAACCCCCCCAGCAGCCGGGGAGCCCCCCAGCAGCCCCGTGTCCCCCCGCAGCCATGGAACCCCCCCAGCAGCCGGGGAGCCCCCCAGCAGCCCCGTGTCCCCCCGCAGCCATGGAACCCCCCCAGCAGCCGGGGAGCCCCCCAGCAGCCCCGTGTCCCCCCGCAGCCATGGAACCCCCCCAGCAGCCGGGGAGCCCCCCAGCAGCCCCGTGTCCCCCCGCAGCCATGGAACCCCCCCAGCAGCCGGGGAGCCCCCCAGCAGCCCCGTGTCCCCCCGCAGCCATGGAACCCCCCCAGCAGCCGGGGAGCCCCCCAGCAGCCCCGTGTCCCCCCGCAGCCATGGAACCCCCCCAGCAGCCGGGGAGCCCCCCAGCAGCCCCGTGTCCCCCCGCAGCCATGGAACCCCCCCAGCAGCCGGGGAGCCCCCCAGCAGCCCCGTGTCCCCCCGCAGCCATGGAACCCCCCCAGCAGCCGGGGAGCCCCCCAGCAGCCCCGTGTCCCCCCGCAGCCATGGAACCCCCCCAGCAGCCGGGGAGCCCCCCAGCAGCCCCGTGTCCCCCCGCAGCCATGGAACCCCCCCAGCAGCCGGGGAGCCCCCCAGCAGCCCCGTGTCCCCCCGCAGCCATGGAACCCCCCCAGCAGCCGGGGAGCCCCCCAGCAGCCCCGTGTCCCCCCGCAGCCATGGAACCCCCCCAGCAGCCGGGGAGCCCCCCAGCAGCCCCGTGTCCCCCCGCAGCCATGGAACCCCCCCAGCAGCCGGGGAGCCCCCCAGCAGCCCCGTGTCCCCCCGCAGCCATGGAACCCCCCCAGCAGCCGGGGAGCCCCCCAGCAGCCCCGTGTCCCCCCGCAGCCATGGAACCCCCCCAGCAGCCGGGGAGCCCCCCAGCAGCCCCGTGTCCCCCCGCAGCCATGGAACCCCCCCAGCAGCCGGGGAGCCCCCCAGCAGCCCCGTGTCCCCCCGCAGCCATGGAACCCCCCCAGCAGCCGGGGAGCCCCCCAGCAGCCCCGTGTCCCCCCGCAGCCATGGAACCCCCCCAGCAGCCGGGGAGCCCCCCAGCAGCCCCGTGTCCCCCCGCAGCCATGGAACCCCCCCAGCAGCCGGGGAGCCCCCCAGCAGCCCCGTGTCCCCCCGCAGCCATGGAACCCCCCCAGCAGCCGGGGAGCCCCCCAGCAGCCCCGTGTCCCCCCGCAGCCATGGAACCCCCCCAGCAGCCGGGGAGCCCCCCAGCAGCCCCGTGTCCCCCCGCAGCCATGGAACCCCCCCAGCAGCCGGGGAGCCCCCCAGCAGCCCCGTGTCCCCCCGCAGCCATGGAACCCCCCCAGCAGCCGGGGAGCCCCCCAGCAGCCCCGTGTCCCCCCGCAGCCATGGAACCCCCCCAGCAGCCGGGGAGCCCCCCAGCAGCCCCGTGTCCCCCCGCAGCCATGGAACCCCCCCAGCAGCCGGGGAGCCCCCCAGCAGCCCCGTGTCCCCCCGCAGCCATGGAACCCCCCCAGCAGCCGGGGAGCCCCCCAGCAGCCCCGTGTCCCCCCGCAGCCATGGAACCCCCCCAGCAGCCGGGGAGCCCCCCAGCAGCCCCGTGTCCCCCCGCAGCCATGGAACCCCCCCAGCAGCCGGGGAGCCCCCCAGCAGCCCCGTGTCCCCCCGCAGCCATGGAACCCCCCCAGCAGCCGGGGAGCCCCCCAGCAGCCCCGTGTCCCCCCGCAGCCATGGAACCCCCCCAGCAGCCGGGGAGCCCCCCAGCAGCCCCGTGTCCCCCCGCAGCCATGGAACCCCCCCAGCAGCCGGGGAGCCCCCCAGCAGCCCCGTGTCCCCCCGCAGCCATGGAACCCCCCCAGCAGCCGGGGAGCCCCCCAGCAGCCCCGTGTCCCCCCGCAGCCATGGAACCCCCCCAGCAGCCGGGGAGCCCCCCAGCAGCCCCGTGTCCCCCCGCAGCCATGGAACCCCCCCAGCAGCCGGGGAGCCCCCCAGCAGCCCCGTGTCCCCCCGCAGCCATGGAACCCCCCCAGCAGCCGGGGAGCCCCCCAGCAGCCCCGTGTCCCCCCGCAGCCATGGAACCCCCCCAGCAGCCGGGGAGCCCCCCAGCAGCCCCGTGTCCCCCCGCAGCCATGGAACCCCCCCAGCAGCCGGGGAGCCCCCCAGCAGCCCCGTGTCCCCCCGCAGCCATGGAACCCCCCCAGCAGCCGGGGAGCCCCCCAGCAGCCCCGTGTCCCCCCGCAGCCATGGAACCCCCCCAGCAGCCGGGGAGCCCCCCAGCAGCCCCGTGTCCCCCCGCAGCCATGGAACCCCCCCAGCAGCCGGGGAGCCCCCCAGCAGCCCCGTGTCCCCCCGCAGCCATGGAACCCCCCCAGCAGCCGGGGAGCCCCCCAGCAGCCCCGTGTCCCCCCGCAGCCATGGAACCCCCCCAGCAGCCGGGGAGCCCCCCAGCAGCCCCGTGTCCCCCCGCAGCCATGGAACCCCCCCAGCAGCCGGGGAGCCCCCCAGCAGCCCCGTGTCCCCCCGCAGCCATGGAACCCCCCCAGCAGCCGGGGAGCCCCCCAGCAGCCCCGTGTCCCCCCGCAGCCATGGAACCCCCCCAGCAGCCGGGGAGCCCCCCAGCAGCCCCGTGTCCCCCCGCAGCCATGGAACCCCCCCAGCAGCCGGGGAGCCCCCCAGCAGCCCCGTGTCCCCCCGCAGCCATGGAACCCCCCCAGCAGCCGGGGAGCCCCCCAGCAGCCCCGTGTCCCCCCGCAGCCATGGAACCCCCCCAGCAGCCGGGGAGCCCCCCAGCAGCCCCGTGTCCCCCCGCAGCCATGGAACCCCCCCAGCAGCCGGGGAGCCCCCCAGCAGCCCCGTGTCCCCCCGCAGCCATGGAACCCCCCCAGCAGCCGGGGAGCCCCCCAGCAGCCCCGTGTCCCCCCGCAGCCATGGAACCCCCCCAGCAGCCGGGGAGCCCCCCAGCAGCCCCGTGTCCCCCCGCAGCCATGGAACCCCCCCAGCAGCCGGGGAGCCCCCCAGCAGCCCCGTGTCCCCCCGCAGCCATGGAACCCCCCCAGCAGCCGGGGAGCCCCCCAGCAGCCCCGTGTCCCCCCGCAGCCATGGAACCCCCCCAGCAGCCGGGGAGCCCCCCAGCAGCCCCGTGTCCCCCCGCAGCCATGGAACCCCCCCAGCAGCCGGGGAGCCCCCCAGCAGCCCCGTGTCCCCCCGCAGCCATGGAACCCCCCCAGCAGCCGGGGAGCCCCCCAGCAGCCCCGTGTCCCCCCGCAGCCATGGAACCCCCCCAGCAGCCGGGGAGCCCCCCAGCAGCCCCGTGTCCCCCCGCAGCCATGGAACCCCCCCAGCAGCCGGGGAGCCCCCCAGCAGCCCCGTGTCCCCCCGCAGCCATGGAACCCCCCCAGCAGCCGGGGAGCCCCCCAGCAGCCCCGTGTCCCCCCGCAGCCATGGAACCCCCCCAGCAGCCGGGGAGCCCCCCAGCAGCCCCGTGTCCCCCCGCAGCCATGGAACCCCCCCAGCAGCCGGGGAGCCCCCCAGCAGCCCCGTGTCCCCCCGCAGCCATGGAACCCCCCCAGCAGCCGGGGAGCCCCCCAGCAGCCCCGTGTCCCCCCGCAGCCATGGAACCCCCCCAGCAGCCGGGGAGCCCCCCAGCAGCCCCGTGTCCCCCCGCAGCCATGGAACCCCCCCAGCAGCCGGGGAGCCCCCCAGCAGCCCCGTGTCCCCCCGCAGCCATGGAACCCCCCCAGCAGCCGGGGAGCCCCCCAGCAGCCCCGTGTCCCCCCGCAGCCATGGAACCCCCCCAGCAGCCGGGGAGCCCCCCAGCAGCCCCGTGTCCCCCCGCAGCCATGGAACCCCCCCAGCAGCCGGGGAGCCCCCCAGCAGCCCCGTGTCCCCCCGCAGCCATGGAACCCCCCCAGCAGCCGGGGAGCCCCCCAGCAGCCCCGTGTCCCCCCGCAGCCATGGAACCCCCCCAGCAGCCGGGGAGCCCCCCAGCAGCCCCGTGTCCCCCCGCAGCCATGGAACCCCCCCAGCAGCCGGGGAGCCCCCCAGCAGCCCCGTGTCCCCCCGCAGCCATGGAACCCCCC